TTATCAGTTTTAGTAGGCTTCATCCTCTGGGGACCAAGTAGCTGTACAAAATTTAATTCCAAATTATCCAGTAGTTGTTAAATTCAGTCTGGTGCACTGACCAACCAACCAACCAACATATAGTGCCATCCCTTGAGCCACGATGCAGGCACAGATAAAATTCATGAAGTGAACTGCATATTGAAGTGTTATGAATATGAAGTCTACTGTATGTGACTACTTTCAACCTTTAATGAAATGAGTGGGGAGTAATAAAAATGCTAAGCTGGTAGATCCTCCTGTCTACAGAATGTTGTTAAATGCTATACCTGCATTCTGAAAAGGTGTGTAATTGTAAACACTTGCCAAATTTTGGAAAACACACATTTGTGTTTCTTCTCAAAACAACACATTAAGGAGAATGTATTCTAACGCTTGCATTGAATGCATACAGTTGTAAAAACACATCAATCAAACCAATTGATGTTTGTTATTGTATCTCTGAACAACAGTGCAAAGTCATCACACTCTGATATGGCAATGGTGTCAAAGAGGCTTTTTGGAGCTGGATTTATGAGGCTGTTAATAACTGAGAAGATCACATGAGGATTACTGCATTGATTATCAGTTACCAATTTTGAGAATTAAGCTGTGGGCATTTCTAAATGCTGTGTTATTAGCGATGTTCTCTTTCAGAGTGCCAAAATAAACCAGAAGCATAGTTTTTGCACTCAGCGTTTCTGTATTTTGTATTTAGGTTAAAGATATCCTTAATTCTTATTTGGATGTGTTTGTTGTAAGTCTGTGCTGTACTGTCAGGAGTAGCTAACTAATAAAGTGAGGTAACATCCTTAACAATGCATCGGAAGACAGACATTTGTATAAAACTCAATGCATTATAATATATATGGGACATAATGTCATTTTTACTGACAGTGTAAGGCACAAGTAAAGGAAGAAATCTGAACAACTGACCAGCTAATAGTCTACTTCTCTTTATGCTAGCTTCAGCAGTTCAACTACTTGGATGTGAAGATAGTGCTTCCCTGTGAAACTATACTTTGAAATATCTTCCCCAAATACTTTTAAGGAGGGTTTGGAAACCAAAAGACACGTGAAAGCCAGGGAGCTGCTCGTTGGCAGAAATGCATTAAATTTAATTCCTGTGTCGTAAGATTCCTCAACATGGAGCTAAACATGTACTGTCACATGAGGGAGATAAATTACTGGTGTGAGCACCGAATATGTTTCCAATCTAGCAGTTGAAGGAAGATATTGAAAACAAATGTAATGAGGGGGAGATATGGAGATTAGAGAGGAGGAAGAGCAGAGAGAGAAGTTGTGAAGACTGTAGTTTCCTTGCGTAGATGTAAGTTGACAGGTAAATTAGCATGTGTGGCTAATGGAGCAAAAAGCGGCCAAGCCCTCAAAGGCACCCTTTCACGCTGACAAACAGGCAGCTTGTTGACCCAACCATTGCCTCTGTCACTCCATTTCTCAGTTTTAGCATTTAAACATACAAACAGCCTCCCACTTACACAATGACACACTTACTGACATACTAACTACACACACTCCAGCACAGGCTCACTGCCAGGGTGCGCACAGAGAATGATAACTTAATCTAATACGATTTAAAATGAATCAGAGACGAATCTTCAAATGTTCAAAAAAGGTTTTTGAGATGGTGGCCTTTGATTGATTTTCTATCAATGATAGACGATCATGTTTTTTTTTAGCAGAATTGAGAAGCAGTGAAAAATCATGGATCACAGCGTGCATCTTGAATAGAGCGTGTGGAGTTGTTTACAATCTGCTCATCAAGGCAAGGGGTAAATCTCTTTCATGCAGCTTACTTTTCTCTCCACTTTCCAGCACATAGCGGGAATCAATAGCCAGATTGCCGTCTCTGAATCTCTCTGTCATTTGTTTTTCTTCCAATCACTTTCCTATGTTGATGCCATGTTTGAGTCATAAATCAACACCTTTGCAAAGTGGGAGGAGTAGGAGTGTGTGTGTGTATGTATGCATGCATACATGAGTGTGTGTATGCAGGGTATGTGTCTGCGAAGTGAGTACGTGCACATGCATAAATGTTTGTGGAGCTGTGTCAGAGAGACCACGGTTGGGTATTACCACATATCAGTGTGCCTGTCTTCTCGTAGCGGGTGTCTGAATGTTTCATCTAATCATTAAACGCTGACAGGCTTCACAGAGTAGCGCCACTGATCCCCGTCAGTGGAATACGGGGCCTGACTTCATTAGCCCTGTTAGTACTAAGCTGCTTTACCCTCACTCACGCCTGGCTTAACCTGCACAATGATAAATGCTGAGAGGAGAAGGAAAGATAGGCAGGGGGAAAGAAGGGTGAAACAAAAGTAAAGCAGGGACAAAGGCATTTAAAGAGAGAGGCAAAGGTGGCAAAGTCAGCTACAGAGGATGAGGAAGTGAGAAATGGGAGGGCACAGAGCGTGTGAACCTGGAGTTTTTAGAGGCAGGGAAGGAGATAAAGCTCAAAGTGGCGTTTGAACTTAGAGGGATTTACAAATGCAAAATAAGCAAAACAATCAATTAACTCGTGTTGCAATTAATCAATTATTATGCTGGCACATTGACAGCTAAAGTGCTTAACTGAGATTCCAGCGTGAGGCTCCTGTGTGTTGAAGAATTAGCATTGACCTCTGTGCACATATGCATCCACACTCATGCACAAGCTAATTCATGATTGCGCTTATGCATTTAAGCACATAACGATATGCGCACACATCTTTGTTCTCAGCTTATTTCTCCACTACATTCTTCTGGTTTCCCTCCTACCAGGACCCCTCCCCCCACCTCACCCCCCACCCTCAACACTCAGTCTTTTTCTCCTGCCAGCAGAGGTTTTTGGCTGGCTTAAGTACGCCCACAGGCCCCTGAGGGACAGCCCATGACGGATGGCACTGCGTGTGACTCCAATTCGATTCAGCCTGTTTGATAAATTTATTGCTGGCATTTTGAAAATGAAATTAGAGGGACGTCTCCTAGAGACTGTTTTTCCTGCACAGGTGCCATAAATACACTTCATTTGGCAGAGGAGAGGGAGGAGGAGGGTAAGGGGGTGGAGAGGTGTTGGATAAAGTATGTCATGGTAGAGAAGCAGATAGTGGAGATGTTCCACAGAAGTAGAGAACTAAATAATAAGGTCAAATTATAATGAGGTCCTGTGTTAATCATGATATTGGTAAGGAACAACAGTAAAGGTTATTCAACCACAGACTCAATACTATCTGGACCTAAATACTATGTGCTGCCCTTCAGTCTAACACATGTACCTTAGCACTGTGCTCTTTGTGTGTGTGCTCATGTGAGACCCACATCTCTCATGTTGAATATTAACGGATTGAGACTGTGGAGAGTTGACATTGCCAGTGTGCACAAATGCCCTGCTTTCTCTATATTTCATGCTCAGGAACACACAAAACACACACACACACACACACACACACACACACTTATATACCAGTCTTTTAAGAGATGTGCACACACAAACACATGCTTTATGTACACTATCTTTGCCTCAAGGCCCCATGGCTCTTCTGTACCGATGGCACTGTCACAGCTGCACAGCCATCTATAACTCACAGTGTATGAATGAATACGCCAGGATATTTTTCTCCATGGCACTCTCAGTGAATGGAGCCGTGAGACAGTGAATGTTTTTGTTGATGCTTCTGACTAAACTGATTTGAATTGGACACATTGGATGGGCTAGTAAAAAAAGACATACAAACACACAAAAGTCTGACACAGATATGGACACACAGGCTAACAAAAGTGAGCATTCATTCACTGTCAAGGTTGCGTGACTTTACTTATCTCCCTCTCATTCAGAAACATATGCGAGTGCGGCTGTAGAGGGATGATGTACACCACGTCAGCCTCTGCTCCCCTTCAACATTCATCAGAGAGTGAGGCTCAGGCAACCCACATCACTTACCTTTATAGGCCCATCTGACAGCATCGTACACCACATAGTCATCACATACATAGGCCTCACAACAATATGCGTGTGTGAGTGAGGGCACACTGAGCGTAACCTGTCACACAGATGTACTCTATCAATGCCTCTTGCACTGTATCTACAAGCAGCTTTAACAGATCTGAAGCTTTGTAAGGTGAAAAATGTCACCACATTCCCTGAGACAAACTCGTGCTGTTTAGGTTTTACAAATATACATGTTGTGCACATTATATCAGATGCAGGATGAATGAATCAATTATAATATTTCCACCTGCATTCTGCTCTGGTAGGAGCTCGTACAAAACAACACCTAAGTTCTTATAAGCACAGCGGGAAATCAAAGAAAGTTTCAACAAAATCAGCAGGGAGTTCTCCTGACTGATTGTCTGCTCCTGCTTTGCAATCACAGAGCGTGACACACCCTCTGCCATTACTGTCTCTCAACTATGAAGAGTAGAGGGCTGCGACTGCTCGGTGCATACACCTGCAGGCTGCCACTCAGAACAAGACCCCCGGAGCTGTTTAGACAGTTTGACTGTCTGGCCCCATCATCTTACAAAATCAAAACAGCCTACAGGTACATTCCTACAAACATCTTCCCCTCCTACATCTCTCGTCTCTCCCTGAAGATCCACTATGCAAAACAATCACCTCCCCCAACCTCACATTAACATACACATGAAAGTGTGGAGGAGTCTAAACAGAACTGTGATTAGTCTTAACATAGGACTTACAGAAAGAAATGCATAAACACAGACTGTGGGCTGTCTATCATGGCAGGATAGCGGGATAATTTAGTCTAGGTGTCAGTGGGTGTAAGTGATTGACTTTGTAATCAAACAGATTGTTCTGTAACAGAAACACTGAATGACTCAATTTCAAATCAACATCAACAACACCATGAAATGTTTTTCATCTCATTAGTAAAAATTGAGAACGCAGACACACAGAGCAACACACTCACATGCCACCCATCTGAAAATACATGGGGATCCACAGGTGACTGATGCCGTCTTACCTTTTTGTGATGACACTGGGGTATCTGTAGATAAAAGAGAAGAGACACACAGAGGAATGTGTTAGGAGCTGACAGGCTGCTGTACAGCAGAAACATAAAATGCAGTAGATGACAGCCACAACAGTGATTTGCTGGGAGGGAAATGAGCCACCCAAGAGGGCTGTACACAACCAGGGGGGCTCTCATCTTAGACCTACAAAGAATATCCACTTTACCAAACTCATGCACGCTTAGTCATGCCTGAATATGCAAACACAAATAAGGACACACATAGTGAGGGTGCTGAGTAATACACACAAATACACGCAGCAGCGTTTTTCCACTCTATAAGGAGAAACCAGGTGTCTGAGCAAAAACATTGAAGAGAGGCCTCAAGTAGAAAGATGAGAGTCTCCAGACCCCTTGAAACCCTTGTTCTCCTACACAATTTACAGAGTGAGCTTTCTAATAAGTAAAAATAATGCCTTTGAGGTGCAGCGAGACAAAGCAAATCAAATCCTTTCAGTAAGCATTTTAGGTTCTTACTCAGAGCCCACTAGAGACACTCCTGGCCCACAAGGCGCGGATCAAAACATGAGCTGCTTGGAGGGGAGGATGTACCGCAACATGTTTATTATAGAACACAGAACATTTACAACAAAACCCAACTCAAGGAGGTGTGTTTGGAAGGAGAAAAATACAGTAAATTTAGCTTATTGTTCTCATAAAATATTTACCAGGACAGTGTTTCTAAGCTCCCAAGGTTTCATTTTTATTTAACAGACTTGTCAAACTGGCAGGATTGCCAGAATAAATATAAAACAAAGAAAAGAAATACTCTTTTTATATAACTTTGTACTTTCAGCAGTTGAACTATATTTCTCCACTGGCCATGTTCCCAAAAAGCCCAAATGGCCACAGACATGGGAGGAGAATAATTGAATCCGGATGGATTTGTGGTGTGCTGGGCTGAGGAAATGATAATCCAAAGCTCTGCCTAATTGCCAGAGTAAAGATGGCGCCCATTGTGGGGTGGCGTCTGTGTTTATCAAGGCAGTGTGGCGTGGGATTGGACTGAACATTAGGGCTTTACTCACTTTTGTTTTGTGAGGTGTTACAGTGGATTTGAGCAAATATTGGCCCTCTGGTTATTACATGGTCTGATTGTCTGCTATGCGACTGTCTATAAGCTCTGCATGTCTACCCTAATCTGAGAGGAGGCTTCAAATAATTAGTTAGTGAAGCACTCTCACAGCCCAGCACAGTCAACCTTATCACTAAAAGAAAATCCTTGGTCCATTTCCTTCTCACCCCCAAAGGCTTACAAACTTTCATCACTGTCTCACAACCGCATAGACGATAAAAGATTACCCAACATGCAGCAATTACTGGCCCATATCCTCCTTGTTTGTCGTTTGTTATGTTAAAAAAAGACTACAGTATGTCAAATAGAAATGTTCTGGCAAGTGGTAGTAGTGCAAATAGACTGTCTCCAAAAATGGGAAAGCTAACTTTAGATAATTATCAATATCCCAAAGATTATGAAACAGTTTCAGAAAAAGACAAAAAGAGAGAAAAGTAGAGTTTTAGACTACCTGCTTTGTCTGTGGTGACCAGCATACGTGACTGTTGCATTCAAAATTTTCAACATCTACCTAAGATAGTGAAAACATCACATATATAGGGGAGGGTAAATCCACCTGCAATGAGAATTATTCATTAATTTCAAGTGCTTAAGCATTTAACAGTGGTAAACTAACCCATGTAAAATAAAATACGGGTCTTTGGAGAAGTGTTTGCTTTCGGTAACTGTTTTAAACTTGTGCTGAACATTCAAATGGGACAGTATACAGCCTATAGCTTATCAGTTGAAAGTCAAAACATAACCAAAGTCAAAAAGATCAGCAGAGTCTGTGCCAGACTATAATCTGTGAATTCACATTGTCGAATGTCTGTGAATTTAACAAAAAAACTATTGTGTAAAACCCTTTGGATGTGTCAGTGAAGTTGAGGATTACAGGAATTATAATGAAAACCAAAACTACAAGTCTTATAAATCTGTGTGACTAAGACAGCAACCGTGACAGGTAACTGGTGGACAGTAGACAGGCATTTAATTTATTCCAGCACCTCTCATGATTTACATGCACTTAAAGGTGGATTTCTGCAGCATATTAAGAGATCAGCAAAAAAAAACAAAAAAAACGCTGCTGTACAAAATATTTTACTGGTTATTTTTAACTCTATTGCTGAGAATCAGTTTAACATAATTTGAGTAAAACACAGCACAGTGGATACACTGCACATAACAATGAGTAGATGAAGCTTTCTGGAAAAGAGCTTGGAAAGACTAAACACTTAACTGAAATTTTATTTTAATATTAAAAGGCATTATCTAAATAAAGGATTAAGTAATTTCCACTACACACAGTTACTTGCCGTAAATAGCAGGGTGTCATTACATGTGTTACTTTCTCTCAGTGCACATTATTTTAATATATTGCTCAAAAAAAATTAAGGGAACACTTAAATCACACATCCGGTCTTGATGAATGAAGTAATTCAACTAGTTAATTATTTGAGAACAAAATGACGTAACAATGGAAACCAAAATCACAAACCCATTGAGGGCTGTGACTCAGTAGTGTGTATGACCCCCACGTGCCAGTATGCACTCCCAACGTCTAGGCATGCTCCTGATGAGATGGTGCCTGGTGTCCTGGGAGATCCCCCCCCCAGACCTGGATCAGGGCATGAGTGAACTCCTGAACAGTGATGGTGTTGGATAGATGAATGCATAACATCCCAGGGGATCTCAATTGGATTCAGGTCTGGGGAACGTGAGAGCCAGTCCGTGGCTTCAATGCCTTCATCATCCAGGAACTACACATTCTAGCCACATGAGACCAGGCATTGTCCTACACCGGGGCCTACTGCACCAGCATAAGGTCTGACAATGGCTCTGAGGATTTCAAAAGCAGTCAGGATACTGTTGGCTAACATGTGGAGGTCTGTGGGACCCTCCAAGGATATGCCTCACCAGACCGTCACTGACCCACCGCCAAACCGCTCATGCTGGATGATGATGCAGGCAGCATAAGTCTGCCACGGCGTCTCCAGGCTCTTTTACATCTGTCACATGTGCTCAGTGAGAACCTGGTCTCATCTGTGAAAAGAATGGGGCGCCAATGGCGGACCTGCCAATTCTGGTGTTCTCCGGCAAATGCCAACTGAGCTGCACGGTGCTAGGCTGTGAGCACAAATCAGGCCCTCATGCCACCCTCATACAGTCAGTTTCTGATAGTTTGGTCAAAAACATGCACACTGCTGAAGGTAATTTTGTAGGGATCTGGCATTGCTTCCCCTGTTTCTCCTTGCACAAAGGAGCTGATACTGGTCCTAGTGCTGGATTGATTCCCATTATACATCCCTGTCCAGCTCCCCTCATGTAATGGGGCGTCTCTTTGGTATCTCCTCTATGCTCTTGAGACTGTGCTGGGAAACACAGCAAACCTTCTTGCAACGGCACATATGGATGTCCCATCCTGGAGGAGCTGGACTACATATGCAATATTTACAATATATACCTGAATGGGCTGCAGTTACCGCCTCATGCTACCAGTAGTGACAAGGACACTAGCAAAACACAAAACTAGAGAACAATCAGTCAGGAAGGATAAGGAAAGAGCAATTGTCTGTGGTTACCACCTGCAAAACCATTCCCTTTTTGGGGTTGTCATGCTGTTGCCTCTCCAGTGCACCTGTTGTTACTTCCATTTGCACCAAAACAGGTGACACTGATTCGCAATCTCTTATGCTTCCTAACTGGACAGATTGATATCCCTGCAGTTTAATTGACTTGATGTTATACTGTGATGATTAAGTGTTCCCTTGTTCATTGTTTTTGAAGGGTGTATATTGGGTAGGGGAGAAATTTGAAAAAAAAGGTTGTAACATGCTCTCTATTAACACTGTTTTGATAATGATAAATAATGAACACACACCCACTTGGTGATAATAAATAATCATAAAAAAGCACTTCCCTCTCCAAAACTTGTTGGGTCGGATCACCATGCTGATTGGTTTCAGCCTACATAAATAACTCTGCTGTTTAGGGAGCTAAAGAAAGCCTCTGTCATTGATTACCGCATTTCTTCCCAGCTATCAGTGGCTTATATGGATTTGGAGACTAATTTGCAGTTAATATGTGAGTGGCGTTTTGATGTGCCATGCACCAACAGCAGCACTCTTGTGGGCTTGAGTATTATGTAAAATAGGCCATATGTCAATACAGGTTTCCCACTGCAAAGTATGAATGCAAGTCTGGTAAAGTTAACACTGCCCAAAAGCATGCCTGAGGACACTAAAAGCTATGTTTTGACGATACATTTACAAATAAGGACATAAACATCTCCCAACTGTTTTTCTTTACCTTTCAGAAATGTATCCTCTCACTGAAAGAGGATGAAAGAAAGGGGTAGAGGAGAAGAAAGTGATGAAGGATACTAAGAAAATTCATTATTCATTTAGGTAAACATGTATCCTGTTATCGTTAGACTTTAGGAAGTAATATGATGTCTTTAGTTTGAAATTTTAGAGATCCTAACGGCTAATCAGGCATGGCAGCGGGTGGAGAAGTTGCGGTGCTTGAATTATAGAATGCTCGCAGTAAGGCCAGCCTATAAAACCAATGACTAAAATTCTCAGAAAATGCGCTTACACCAGACCCCTGGATCTGAAGAAGGGTCATAAATAAAAAGAAAGAATCATTAATGGTTCTTGCACACAGTTGGCAGTTACTGCTAATATGCCAGCTTCTGATGTTGGATGATGCCACATGTTGACTGAGAGATGACAAGGTTCAACACTGCCCCTGTGGTGAACATCAATTGGAGACCAGCATCACCAAGAGGGATCATGTTGGCACATTACCAGTGCTAACTAATCAGACAAGTAATAGACAACAGACAGCTTCAGTAGCTTCAGACCTGTTTTTAAATACCTTTCTTCACTGGTGAAGGTGTGTCATATACTGTAAATGAGGG